TCATCCAAGTCATTGATAAAGATGTTGAATCACACTGGCTCAATACCACCCACACCCAAGGGGGAGATATCCATAGATTGTGTATTCTTGCATGGCAGAATGGGGTTGGACTGGATGGCCCTTGGGGGTCTCTTCCAACTCTAGGATTCTTTGAAATATTTAAAGGGATGTCATACGGATGAAGGATGTCCTACTGAAGATGGAGCAAGCTTGTTTTCTGCTGCTCCAGAGAACAGGACTTGAAGCAATGGATCCAAGCTACAGGAAAAGAGATTCCACTTAAACTAGTGGTTTCCAAACTTTGGTCTTCCAGATGCTTCTTACTTCAGATCCCAGAATTCCCGACTGCTGGCCATGGTGGCTGGGGCTTCTGGGATTTGAAGTCCAAAACAGCTGGTGGGCTCAAGCTTGGGAACCACTGACCTAAACATTAGGAAAAACATCTTTAATGTAAGAGCTGTTCAGACATGGAAGACGCTGCTGCCTCGGAAAGTGTCGGAGTCTCCTTCTTTGGAGGTTTTTAAGCAGATCCATCTGTCAGGATGGTTTTGATTGTGAGTTCCTGCATGGCAGAAGGGGGTTGGACTGGATGGCCCTTGGGGTCCCTTCCAACCTATGATCCCAAGAGAAGCCATCCATCTTTAAGCAGAGGCTGGATGGCCATCTTTCGGGGATGCTTTGATTGTGAGTTCCTGCATGGCAGAATGGGGTTGGACTGGATGGCCCTTGGGGTCTCTTCCAACTCTATGATTCTATGATTCTATGATCCTAGGAGCAAAAGTCAGGAACAGACACATGCCTCGGGAGATGCGGAAGAGACATTTGCAAATTTAATCCCCGCGTGCCACACAGTTTTAACCCGGGAAGCTGATGGAGGATGAGCAAGGACAGGACAAGAGGCTTAAGCCAGCTGTGCCAGCCAGCTGTTGGACATTAGCATCCCCATAAAGTGCATGCATTTGACCTTCGGAGGCCATGCCTTGCCACTGGGCTTCCAAAGAGGGTCAGGAGGGGATCAGATGCAATCAGGGGAAACCAAGTCTCCAATTCCATCATGGAAACTAAGAGCAGATGGAGATGCTCTGCTAAGAGTAAGGAGGACATGGCTGCAATTCACTGCTTCATATCACCCTGAACTTTCATGGTTTCCTCTTAAGGATGCAATCCTGGGATCTGCAGTCTGGCGAAGGTCTTCGAATTCTCTGCACAGCCTTAGTGCATTTAAATCCCCCCACCAAACTACAGATCCCAGGCTTCCACAGAGTGGAGTTGCCCCGGATAAAGTAGAATCAGGTTGAGGCTTCCTTATCCAAAACGTGGGAGACCAGAGGTGTTCCGCATTTCAGATTTTTACGGGTTTTGGAATACGTGCATGTCTGTTGTTGCGTGCCTTCAGGGAACGGGATGGAGGTATAAGAGCAAAACAGTGGAACTATAGCTTCCCATACCCTTGAGAGACACTATCTTATGGGGCTGCGCCCCACATCGCTGTCTCACAATCCACGAGGGTGCAAAAATACAACTAATTGATATTGCAGCGGCAGTGTGGTGGAGTTTCCTTCCTTGGAGGTTTTTAAGCAGAGGCTGGATGGCCATCTGTCGGGGATGCTTTGAGTGGGAGTTCCTGCATGGCAGAAGGAGGTTGGACTGGATGGCCCTTGGGGTTTCTTCCAACTCTATGATTCTATGACTCTATGATCTGGAAGCAAGATGAATTATGAAGTGTCGACACAAGGGTAACCCAACAGGTATCCATCAAAATGCAATTGTCCATTTGCAACAGGAAAGTCAGCAGATGGACTTGGAGAAAGAATGCAGTAAATTTAATAATAATAATAATAATAATAATAATAATAATAATAATAATAAATTGCACCATCTTTGTACAATGTATTTGTGGTTTTAACAATACACAGTGCAAAAAAGTTTTAACAGTTTCAGATTCTGAATCTATCCAAAATTTAGGAATCAGGGATGCTCCCAGAGCACCTCTCACCATTATTATAGCTGTTGTTATTATTATTATTATTATTATTATTATTATTATTACTAATACTATTGAAGCCAGCATGGTGTAGTGGTTTGAGCATTGGGTTAGGACTCTGGAGACCAGGGTTTGAGTCCCAGCTCTATAGATGCTATAAGAACCCATTGGGTGACCTTAGCCAAGTCATACTCTCTCAGCCTCAGAGGATGGCAATGGCAACCCCTTCTGAAGAAAACACCCTATGATAGGGTCACCATAAGGTTGAAACGACTTGAAGGCACACAACAACAACAACAATTACTATTATGACTATTAATACTATTACTATCATCATCATCTGCTAACACTGCCTCATAGGCATATCTCAAGGCCTCTGGCAAAAATGGTCCTTTTTAGAAAATCTTTTCAAACAGTGAGCCAGTGCAGCGTAGTGGTTTGAATGTCAGACTACGACTCTGGAGACCAGGGTTCGAATCCCCACTCAGCCATGGAAGCCACACTCTCTCAGCCTCAGACAAGCATCTCTGAGCAAGCCTTGCCAAGAAAACCCTGTGAAAAGGGTTGCTGTAAGTCAGAAGCAACTCGACGGCACACAGCGACAACGAAACGATAAAAACTGGCCACAAAAACAGCTCCGTTTGTGAGCGCTCTCAGGGCTTCGCCGGGAGAGAAGCCAACTTTGTGGGTGTTCAAATGCAAAGTGAATCCTGTTCCCATTATGGTGCATAGGAAAAACCCTGGTCCAGAATTGTCTATCTCAGGGGTAGGCAACCTTTTTGAGCCGGGGGCCAGGTTGCTGTCTCTCAGACAATTGGGGGGCTGAAGCACCATAAATAAATAAATACATAAATAAATAAATATTTTTTTTAAAAAAAATATTTTAAAAATATGCATGCACACTCTCTCAGCCCCAGAAAAGCCTTGGCAAAACTCCTGTGGAGATTTTGGCAAGAAAACCCAAGAACAAGTACATAACAACAATAATATCATCATGGCAGGGGGCGGCAGCAACAGGACCGGCCTGGGGCCAGTCCAAAGGCCTCAGGGGGCCGTATCCGGCCCCCGGGCCTTAGGTTGCCTACCCCTGGTCTATCTGTTGCAAATACAAAAAATGTGGCCATGGACCACTCTAATCCTGGCCTTCACTCTTTGCATAACCATCTAAGGCAGGGGTCCTCAAGCTATGGCCCATGGGCCACATGCGGCCCGCCGAGGACATTTATCCAGCCTGCTGGGTGTTTTTGCCACCGCTGCCTGTCCTGCTTAACAGCTGACTTGTCCCAAGCCCGCAGTGCGCATGTCTGGCCCTCCAATGGTCTGAAGAACAGTGAATTGGCCCCTTGTTTAAAAAGTCTGAGGACCCCTGAGCTAAGGACTAGGTATCCCATTACCCAAGAGATGCCCAGGAAGGAGATGGCTGGGAGGCAATGCCCAGCTCTCCATCCCTCCCTGTTTCATGGGCTCACATGTGGACTATCCTATATCCTAAACACACAAACACACAATAATGGAAGCCTTGCTGTAGGGGGGGGGAACTCCAAATCCCAGCTGGGTTTGCAAATCCCACCCCAAGCAAAGTAGTAAGTCAGCGAGACACAACAGGACATCTGGTGCCGGAGAGAGCCAGACCGCAAGAGCACAGCCGCAGGACAGCATAGATAACATGGCAACTCTGGGGTATATATAAGCAACATATGGCTCCGTAGCAGAGAGGGGGGCAACCAGAGACCCCCAAAATTGTGTCCGCACAGCAAGGGGGGGGGTCTCCTAATCCGGGATTGGATCAGGTGAGGCAAACTCTTGGATAAACTGCACATTTTCGAAATTGCAAATTTTCAACATGTAAGCTTTTGGATTTGCTGTTCAAACTGGCACTTAGCCCACTGAGGCTAAACTAACACCAGCTCTCTCCACCCCCATATTACTGGTATTAGTTATTATATTATATTATATTATATTATTATATTATTCTGCATAGCTCTCTGTGTTTTATCCCCATGCACCTGAGGAGGTGAGTTCGGGTCTGTAAAGGTTTGGGTTACTGGATCCTCTCCAGGATGCTGCAAGAACCCTTTGCATACTGATTTTTCAGACTGACATGGCTATGTCTCTGAATTATATTTCCCTACTTAATTCCCGTTCAGTTATTAAAGCAAAAAAGAGACAAGCCTTATGAGTCTTAATAATATCAAGAAAGTCTGTGCAATAGCACAACTTTTGCTATACACAGGAATTGTCTTCATGGCCATAATATTTTGTAGGAAAGGTTACAAATATAACCTCCCACTTTATTATTATTATTATTATTATTATTATTATTATTATTA